GGGCGCGTGCGCAGAGGCAGCCCCTGGATCCCAGGCACTGGGGACACCCCGCTTGGTGGTGGTCAACGCTGGAGTCTGACACTTGGGCGCCGCTGACCCCCAGGAGGGGCTTGGCAGAATGGGGCCTTTGGTTTTCTCTGCCTGTGCCCTTGCCCTGTTTCCAGTCCCCGAGGGCGTGACAGCCGTTTGGGGTGAGGGCCTGCCCCTTCCTCCCACCCCCCAGATTCTCAAACCCCTCCCCTAGCACGGACACACTTTAACGGCATCTCAGTTTGGGGGCACCTGCAGAAATGGGGAGGATGGGCGAGCCAGCATGTAGAACTTTCTGGCATGCCTGGTCAAGCAGGAAATCGGGCCTGCAGGGTGTGGGGTGCCCCTGTCCATTCTCAGCACCCCTTGCTGCCCCACGCTGTGCCAGGGTGCTCCTGGGTCCTCGGGTGCCAGGTTCTCCCCAGCCAGTCCCTCAGCTGTCTCAGCCCGTCGGCCCCAGCCCTCTGCCCGCTAGTGTCCACCTGGGGCTCTGCCACCCTTGCCCCTCCCCGGCCAGCACTGCTGACCCCAGGGGTGCCGGCCACCCCTGCTCCACAGACCCACAGCTCCGGTGCCCAGGAGGACCCAGCCCACGGGCTCCTCGGGGGCTGCCCTGGGCCCCAGTGGCCCTGGTGGGGCAGTGCTGAAGGGGGAGCCCGGCAGGGCAGAGCAGGGCAGGGCAGGGCATGAAGGGATGCCCAGGGCCAGTCTCTGGACCTAGCCAAGGCCGGCCTGCTGCCATCCGCCGAGCTCCATTCCAGGTCTCTGGGTCCGGGCTGCGAAGACCGGGTGGGCTCCCTCCCGCCTGCCCCATGCCCTAGCCCCGACCAGTCCCTGGAGAAAGAGACCCCAAAGTCAGAAGCCTTGAAAATGGGTGGGGAGAGGTGGGGGTCAAGTCTTCCCAGACCCTTGGGTTCTGCTGGGCGCTGGGTGTGAAGTGAGCAGGGCCCGTGCCCGGGAGCCAGCGCCCAGGAGCGACTGGGAGGGCCGTCCTGCCCCGCTGGGTACCCACGGTCGGCTCCCGTGGGCACACGGATTGGGGTGACCGTTCAGCATTGGGCAGGCCCGCAGGCCAGGGCAGCGGGGCATAGGGGCTGGGGGCGGGGGCGCATGTGCCCGAGGGCCTCGGGCAAGGGGGTGTTGAACCCGACTCCAGGCCCAGGCTCGGGGTTTCCAGTGGGAACAGGCGTCAATGATTAACCCGCAGGTGCATGGGCAGGGGCCGAGCGGGCAGGGCGCACACCGGGAGCTGTTTGGATTGCTGCTGTTGACAGCGTTTCTCGCCTGCGGTAAACTGACCTGCAGGGCACACGGTCACCCAGCGCTGCCCAGGCTCAGAGGCCACCCGCGCTGTCGGCGCAGGGCCGCCGTGACTCCCCAGCCAGCCCAGCCCGGCCGCGTGCCACCCCTGCCCCCTCGGCGCCAGGGCCTATGCGCCCCTTCGCGCCAGCTGCTGGCAGGCACCGGGAGCAGAGCGCCACGCCAGCGTGGGCAGTGTGGGGAGGAGGCGGCCTGAGGGGCTGCAGGGCCTGACCCTATCCCCGAGGCTGCCCGGCCGAGGCAGGGGCCCCCTGTAGCGCGATGGAGATCTTGGGAGGGGAGGCCTGGGGGGTCCCGCCACCCCAGTCTCCGCCCCCCACGGCCGCTGAGATAGGCTGTCACTGCCCCCAAGGGTGCCCACGTCCTCAGCCCAGAGCCTGCGCCAGTGTCACCTTGCAGGTGACCTAGCACAGCAACGGGCCCTGCCGGCCAGACCAAGCCGCTGACCTTGGCCCGAGACCCACTGTCACGTGGGCCTCGGGCGGGAGCTCCGGCTTCTCCGAACCAGGCCAGAACCCCAGCGTGAGCGCCCGGCTGCCACTGCCGGTTCTGAGGAGGGAGTGAGTCGGGGCCCAGGCCCGCGGCACGGCAGCGGGGGATGTTGCCAGTGGCCGCTGGGCAGCAGGGAAACAGGTGGACGTGCGGAGCCGAGCCTGGCAAGCGCCCTCTGAGCCTGCAGCGGGTCGCTGCCCTGGCGCCCAGCCCGAGGACGCCTCGCTGGGCAATGGGAGAGGGCGGCCGCGCCCTTGTGGCCAGGTCCCGGCAGCCGCAGCAGCTGTCCAACCTGACAGAGCTCGCCTGGCCCCCCTGAGTCTCTCTCCCCTCCCCCCACAGTGCTCGTCCCCGGGAAGGGCCTGGCTGCTGTCCTGAGGACACTGCCCATGTTCCACGACCAGGAGCACGCCCGGGCCCGCGGGCTCCCTGAGGACACCTTGGTGCTGCCGTGAGTGTGGCTCCCAGAGGTGGGGGCAGCCCGCTGGTGGGGGCCACCCTGAGCTGGCGCCTGCCGGGCCTGGGCTGCCTGGCCGGTCACGGTAGCTCGGTTCTCATGCCTCCATGGCGGCCTCAGCCCGGCTCCTTCACCCGGCTTCCCCACGCTCACGGTTTAGACCTGCAGCCCCCTGCTGCCTCGGGGGCCTCGGGCTGTGGCCAGCCCCAGAGGTGGGTGGCCCTCAGGCACCCCTGCCGCTTCTGTGTGAAGGCCCTGGCTCCCCACTCTGGACAGGTGCCCACACCTACACAGCTGGGAGGTGGGCCCCAGCTGCCTCCTGGTCACTGGCCTCCTGGGCCACCTTCCCTCAGGGTCATCTCTCTCTCAGGGAGGGCTGAGTCCAGCCTTGCTCTTAGAATTCTGAGTGATCTGCGGGGTAACAGCCCGTCCTGCCCTTGCTGACCCCTGCTGGGCCATCGTCCCTGCTGCTGGGGACGGCAGCTGGACTCGGGATGCTTAGGCACATGGGCGGGCATGCCGTGGGGGTCCCTGGCGAGGGCACAGGATGGCCCTGGGTGACAGTGGGAGCAGGCCTCCTACCTCCCAGGCCTGCCAGCGGCGACCAGAGGATCGTTTACACCGTGCTGGAGTGCCAGCCTCTCTTCGACTCCAGCGACATGACCATTGCTGAGTGGGTGCAGATCGCCCAGACCATCCAGGTAGCTGGGGAGCAGGGGCTGGGGTGGGCGGGGTTGAGGGTGGGGCGTGGAATGTGGGCGGGGTTGAGGGTGGGGCTGGAATGTGGGCGGGGCTGCTGGTGCAGGCCGGGCTGGAGAACTGGTGAGTGGGCCGGGCTGGAGGACCGGCGAGCGGGCGGGGCGTGCAGGTGTGGGCGGGGCTGGAGGACTGGTGAGGCGGGGTCTGGTGAGTGGGCGGAGCTGGCAGGCGGGCTCCGCCTCACCCTGAACAGGAGCACCCCCTGGTCCTTGTGGTCTCCGCCTGCCTGACCATGGGAGTTTCAGGGGATGGCCACTTCAGGAGTGCGCAGAGCTTCGGAAGCTCTCACCAGGGCAAGATGGAGTGAGGGCAGTGTCCACTAACGGTGAGGGAGCTTCAGGGACAGGCGCCCTGGCTGCGCGTGGTCTGCTTGGCCCCGTTGGCTGGGAGGGGCCACGCGTCCCAGAGAATGATGCGCCTGGTCCTGCCCCCGGTCCCACCCAGCCCTGCGCTTGTGGGGGCCGGTCCAGACCAGGACGCCGACCCCGCGGGCCTCGGAACTTACAGCACGGAGCGCGGACGCCTCACGTGCGACCCAGCACCGGCAGTCTTCGCTCTGTCCGTCCACCCGCCGCTGTCGGCGCCCGACCCTGTGCTGCTGCCACTGGGCCAGGGCCTCCCACCCTTCTAGGCCATTCTCACCGCCCCCCAAGCCGCCCGCTCCCACGGCTTAGTCATCATGGCTACTCCCTGGAGCGGTGGGACAGGCCCTGGTCACGTGCATGTCCCCTTATTATGAGCGTCTGGGACAGTGTAACACCCTGAGCCTGGCCAGTGGCCACCACTGGGCAGGCCCACGGTCCATGACCCTGGTCCAGGCAGTCTCCTGGTGCAGCCAGTGCCCAGCGTTCTGTGCCCAGCGTGCTGGGTGGGCAGTCCCCTGTCTGCTGTAGAGCCTGCAAAGGTGGACTCCTGGCTCCCTGGCCCAGGACCTGCTGTGCTGAGCCCCATGCGGCCAGCAGAGGGCGCCCCCGCCCACTCTACCACTCAGCTCCACCATTCAGACCCAGCTTGGCCCGGTTGAGGGGGCCTGGGGTCCCCACAGCCACAGGAATCAAACCCCGCAGACCAGCCTGTTGGCACCTAGGAGGTGGTGGCTGGAGGGCAGCCTGGTGCAGCCACCCCACTCCTGCCATGGGCGTGGGCAGCGGTGTGGAATAGCCGCAGCTTCTTGGCTTAGCAGACCTGGGGGGCCCTGCCCGTGTGCCCACCTGCCAGGCCCAGTCTGCAGCCTCTCCATTCACCTGCCAGTTCACAGCACACTGTGCCATGGCCCCTGCAGCTTGCTGCCTGCAGGTGCCAGGATGCTATCTACTGGGGCTGGGGCAGCCCCACCCAGACCAGCGTTCTCGGGTGCCCTGATTGGGCATCGCCTGGGGAAACGCTGGCCTGAGGTGAAGGGAGCACCCGTGTCCTCGGTGTCCAGAGACCCCATTCCTGGTGCAGCGGGGGCATCGTGGCTCTCGGCGGGTTGGGGAAGCCATCTCGGGCGGTGCAGGACTCCAGCCCGGCTCCGTGGCAGCGGAGGGCCCAGCGCTGGGCAGAGGAGGCCGGAGTGGCCGCGCCTGGACCGCCTGAGCCTCTGCACCCCTGCAGAGCCACTACGACCAGTACCACGGCTTTGTGGTCATCCACGGCACCGACACGATGGCCTTTGCCGCCTCCGTGCTGTCCTTTGTGCTGGAGAACCTGCGGAAGACAGTCGTCCTCACCGGCGCCCAGGTACGGCTCCGTCTGGCCCCGCCCGGGCTGGCCGGTGAGGGTCCCTGAGGCCGCAGGCCAGTCTGGGCCAGCCCCCACCTCCTCCATCACCCCACCCAGCACAACCCAAGAGCCGAGTCAGGTCGAATGTTCCGGAAAAGAGCTGGGCCTGAGGGGAGGCAGCAGGGGGCGCCTGGACCCCTGGGGCCCGCCCCAGAAGCCCACAGGCAGGCCCGGCCCCGTGGCAGGTCCTCTGTCCCCGCCCCCGTGGCAGGTCCTCTGTCCCCGCCCCCGTGGCAGGTCCTCTGTCCCCGCCCCCGGCCCCCCAGGGCCTCGGGCCACACCCTTCCGGAGCCCTCTGCAGACAGGCCCAGGCCTTCTGAGCCACGGAGGCTGAGGCCCGCGGGCCAGGGGTTGGGGGTCCCCCTGGGCCCCGCTGGGCCTGCCCATCGCCCCTGTGCCCACAGGTGCCCATCCACGCGCTGTGGAGCGATGGCCGGGAGAACCTGCTGGGGGCCCTGCTTATGGCCGGCCTGTACGTCATCCCCGAGGTAGTCTCCGCGCGGGGGGCTGGGGCCACGGGGTGGGGGGGCCTGTACGTCATGTCACCCCCTGAGGCAGTCTCGGCACCGGCCGGGGTGGAGCCATGTGGGGCAGCCACCAAGGGTGTGCGGGACAGTGCCCTGGTCTGCTTGTTCAAGCCAGGGACACCCTGTGAGCCCGCGGATGGTGCCAGTGCCCCAGCCGCTCTTCCCGGGCCCCCAGGCATAGTTCAGCCCCGGAGCAGCCCTGAGGCGCTTGCAAGCTGGGGTGCCTGAGCAGGGAGAGGCTCCCTGCACCCCAGGCTGGGTACTCCACATGGGCTCCCTGAGGAGGGGGCGAAGGCAGGTGGACGGTGGTGCCCTCATCGGCCAGCCCCTGCCCAGCTCTCTCTGGGCCCCACAGGCAGCTGGCAGGGCTGGGGCCCTAGGGGACTGGGGCGGCTGGGGTCCCCACACTGAGCCTCCGACACCCCCTGCCGCAGGTCTGCCTGTTCTTCCAGAACCAGCTGTTTCGGGGCACCCGGGTGACCAAGGTGGATTCGCGCAGGTTCGCAGCCTTCTGCTCCCCCAACCTGCCCCCGCTGGCTGTCATGGGCGCTGACGTCACGAGTAAGCAGAGCTGGGGGCAGCGGCCCCCTGGGGCGGGATAGGGCCAGGGTGCAGGTCACCCCGCTCTGAGACAGCCCCCCAGAGGCAGAGCCCCAGGGTTCTGGGCGGGGCCTCGGCGCACATCCATCTCCCCAGCCACCTCCTTGGTCTGGCGTCCATCCCAGGGCTTGGGGGTCCGCGCCCCTCCGGCTGGGCAACTCAGGACGCTCCCTGCAGGGCACAGGGTGGCCTGAGTCCAGCGCTGACCCCTGGCAGCCGCACGTGGCCTGGAGCCGCTGCCCCAGGCCTCTCGCCGCCACAGCCCCTGTGGACGCCAGGCGGGTCTTTGGGCCCCTGCACACCGGAATGCCGGGCTGCACACACCCCCGCCCCCCAATATGCCCGCCCAGCGTGAGAGGCACCGCGTGGAGCTTCCTGGGCATAGCCACCGGGATCGTCCTGGCCGCACAGCGGGCCGGGCTGGGGGGGGGCCTGGCGGCTGAGGGGTGCCTGGGGGCGCCCTGACCGCTGAGCCTGACTCTGGGCGGCCTTGGGTGGGTCCTCCCCACCCGGGCCCCGGGCGCCGGCCTGGACGCAGGGCTCCCCCAGACGGGCCCGTGCAGCGGTCACTGCCCACTGGAGGCCCGCGGCTGTCCCCTGCGGGGAGGGAGAGCTGACTCTCGGGCCCTGCGAGGTGGCTGAAGGGGCCTGGGCGGAGGACGGGTGGGTCCGCGGGGGGCTTTCTCCTCCAAAGGGGGCTCCAGACCCTCATTCACTCCTTCGCTCCCTGGCTGTGGTGCGGGGTGGGGGGCGTGGGGGGTGCCCGGCAGGGGCGGGTGAGGCTGGCTGTCCGCCGACGCGGCCCCCACTCCCGGGGCCCAGAGGCCAGCGCTCCGGCCCGGGCCCCCGCGCTCACGCCCCCGCCCAGCCTTTCCTCCTGCGCTGGGCGGGCGGGTGAGGGCTGAGGGGCTGCGTGCTGGGCTGCCGCAGGGGGCCGGCGGGCCGGGGCCTCGCTGGCCGGCGCCCTGACCACTCCTCCGCCTCCCGTCCAGTCAACCAGGAGCTGGTGCGGAGGCCGCGGGGGCCGGCACAGCTGGTGGTGCACAGCGGCATGGAGCAGGATGTGGGGCTGCTGCGCCTGTACCCCGGCATCCCCGCCAGCCTGGTAGGCCCCCCCCCCGGGCACTTGCGGGGCGCCATCCCATGACCCCGTCCTCCTACAGGGGAGGGGGCCACAGGGCGTGGCCACTTTTGTGCCCCTGCTGGGCAGAGGCCTCTGCCAGGACCAGTGCCTGCTGGGACGCCACTGGGCAGCGGGTGGGCCCAGGCCCCGGGCTGTGCTGGCAGCGTGGTGGACCCTCTAGCCAGGCTGGCCTTGCACTGCGCCCCCGTGCGGGGGGACGTCTGGGCGGGATGCCCGCTGCCCCTGGCTCCGGTGGCTGCGCGACCTCTCTGGGGCTAGACGGCTGTGGCTGACACACTCCCCGGTGCCCCCGGGGCAGGGGTCCGGGCGCGTGAGAATGCCGGGCCCGGGGCGGTCGGGGGGCTCTGATGTAGGCGGCAGGGGCAGCCAGGTCACGCCGGACACCTCCTGGGGCCCCTCCCGGAGACAGTGGGACTGGGCGCGGGGTCTGCTTGGCGCCCGCCAGCCCGGTCCTCCAGGCCTCCGGCCTCGCCCGCGTCTGCAGGTCTGAGGCCTCAGGGCTGCAGCGCTGTGGCTGGACCTGCCCACGGCATCCTCCAGTGGACTGGCAGCCGGGCCACGGTGCAGGAGCCCCCCGGCCTGACCCCGCGGGCTGGCCCGGGGCCCGGCCCACGAGCGGCCCAACGCCACTGCTGCGTCTCCCGAGGCAGGAAGAGCCGAGGGCACCTCCACAGCCCCCGCCCCGCCCAGGCGGCCCCCGCACTGGGCCACTGGGGGCCAGGGCCGGGTCTCCTTGAGCTCCCGGCAGTTGCACGGGTCACTGGCCTCAGCAGGGCCCTGGCTGTCACCTGGGACAGCTTTGGGCTCCCCTTGATTTCTGCCTGGAGGAGGGGGGCGTGCCTGCTGCAGGGGCGCTCCAGGCAGCTCAGGTGACCCTCGGCCAGAGGCTCCGGTGGCCAGTCTGGAGCCCGCGCTGGGCTGGGAGGGGGCGCCCCGCAGCGGGGTGTCCAGGACGGGTCCCTGGGCGAGGAGACCGAGGCCATCTTCCGGGGGGCTGGCCCGGCCCTGTGCTGTGCCGCGCTGGTGGGGGTGCGGCGGGCGGGACCACGGCCTCTCTCCGCAGGTGCGGGCCTTCCTGCAGCCCCCCCTCAGGGGCGTGGTCCTGGAGACCTTCGGCTCAGGCAACGGGCCCACCAAGCCGGAGCTGCTGCGCGAGCTGAGGGAGGCGGCCGCGCGGGGCCTGCTGGTCCTCAACTGCACCCACTGCCTGCAGGGCGCCGTCACCTCCGACTACGCGTCCGGCACGGTGCGCAGGGCTGGGGGGCGGGGCGGGGCCCACCCGGGTGCTGACCCGCGCCCCCTTCCCATCACGACCCCCGCAGGCCATGGCTGGGGCGGGCATCGTCTCCGGCTTCGACATGACGTCCGAGGCCGCCCTGGCCAAGCTGTCCTACGTGCTGGGCCAGCCGGGGCTGAGCCCCGAGGGCAGGAAGCAGGTGCGTGGCCATGGTGTGGACACCGCTGGGACACGTCGCTGGCCTCGAGCTCAGGCCTGGGCGTCGTGCGGGCGGCAGGCAGGCACCAGGGCCGGCCTGGGGGTGGGGGATGGGGTCTGGGGCTCTCCTGGTGGGGAGGGGCGGCTCGCCCGGGTCCCCGCCCCCGCCCCCCCAGCTTCCCCTCCCTTCCCTGACCCTCACGCTGGCACTGGCCCTCTCCTGCTTCTCCTGCAGCTGCTGGCCAGGGACCTTCGGGGGGAGGTGACGCTGCCTGCGGCCGAGGAGAGCCGGGCCTCCCTCCCGGGGGGCGTGCTGGGCCGTCAGCTCGCCCAGCTCCTCAGCCTGAGCCAGGTACTGTCCGGCTGCGCCGGGGGTGGCATGCGGCCTCCTCGGAAGGGTCAGGGCCTCCCTGGGCCAGCGCAGCAGCTGACAGCCTCCAGCCCTCCAGGCTGCAGACCCTAGGGTTCCTGGGGCCCCCCAGGGGGCTTCGCATGGGGGCTGGGCTGCGTGGTGAGGGGGACCGCGGGGGCAGGTGCTGGGGGCTCCGTGGGTGAGGGTCCTGGATGGGTGGTGTCCAGCAGCTGCCCACCAGGGTGGGCAGGGGCCTGGAGACACTTCGGGGCCTGGGGTGACCGAGGTGACTGGGTCTCCTGGCTGGGTGTCTGGCCTGGCAGCACTCAGGCCACCACCTTGGTTTGCCTCTGCAGAGGGGTGGAGTGGGCCTGTGCAGCTGGAGAGCTTCAGGGGTGCTGGCTGCTGCGTGTGGGGGCGGCCGTGGTCAGATGAAAGAGTGGGGAGGGTGTGGCCTGTTATTAGGGTGGCCGGGATGGAACTAATGACTCTCGGGGTGCAGCAGCCTGTGATCAGGCCTGGCTGTGGGCGCTGAGGCTGAGTGGGGCCCGTCTGGGCGCGGCACTGCCTGGGGGCTCCAGGGACCCTGCCTCTGGCGTCCTGGGGTTCCTGGAGGGCTCTGCACCTCCAGGGTCTGGTGTGCACGGCCCCTCGGGGCTGTGCAGGTGCCTGTCCGGGAGGGGAGCACCCCAACTCCCCCAGGGTGCGCCCTCTGGGGTGCTGCTTTGCACCCCAGCTGCCGTGGGGGTGGTGGGACACGGCGCTCCACGTGCGCGGGGTCCCCCCCACCTTCTGGTCACGGCCCTGCTGGCGAGGTGTGCGGCCGCGGCCTCCCTCGGTGCCCTGGCACCGCCCACCCTGCCCTGGTCGGGGGTGCTGCCTCCCACCCTGCCCACTCTCGGGACCGAGGGTGAGTCGTGGGTCCGGCTGCGCCCTCCCCAGGAGGCCGATGCCGTGCGGGACGTGCTAGTGCCCAGCCTGGCCTGTGCCGCCGCCCACGCCGGTGACCTGGAGACCCTGCAGGCGCTGGCCGAGCTGGTGAGTCCCGGCCGGCAGCGGGGTCGCCGGAAC